ATACAATTGCTTTTGCCGTGCACGCGTCAAATGCTTCTGGCTTTGTTTATTTAGACGTTTTATTCGCAGCTAAGCTGATGCATCTGCCCACCCCATCGGCCACCCCCCGCTAATCGCTCATGGCTCATCATGATTGTGGGAAAAAGATTTCCCCCGGAAAAGCGACAGGGGAATATTATTTAATGCGTTTATTCTTTGGCAGCCCAGAGATTACTCCTCGCAGACTATCGTTTTTGGCAAGATGATTTGGCCATTTCTCAGGGATTACCATGGACTTAAGACTCTTTTGCATTCATTTAATCCGTCCCCCACCACCCCAGAGCAAATCGCACTTCAATTGAGTTTCGGCTTTTCCAAAATTCCACAAAACCGAGGAAATTCATGAGTTTGTTCCACCGCCCACATGTGTTTGCCATCAATCCCGGGCAGCCATTAAATCCGCCTCATAACGGACGCAACAATTTGTCTAGCCCGATAATTGTCGGAGCGCGGGGGAAGCGATGGAGAGCGAGTGCGAGTGCGAGTGCCAGTACTAATGTGGCCAGAACTGAGGGAGAAGCACACTCAATTGGAAATGGTGCAACTCATTCCAGGGGGGTGGGGGTTGGGGTAGCGGAGCCTCAGCCTCTCCCCTTTCGTGTCTGACGACCACCAATCATGCAAAAAAACACAACAAAACAAAAAGAAAAAAAATAAAACCCGAGAAAAAACCATCCAAAAACATAAACAATTGGATCTGATTAAATTAATTTGATAACCAGTCCGGAAAGCTCGGACAGCCGGCCCGCCCGGAGAGGGTTTGGAAGCACTTGAGATATGACAGGGAAGCACATTTCTTCCGTGGGTCTCTCCGGGGGCTGCGGTGCTCGTGTGTGCGTTGCGTGCTCTGGTAAATTGGAATGTGAAATATGATTTTAATTTAAATAAATTTAGCTTAATTGAAAGCCAGGCCAAACGGGCTGGCCCAAAGCAATTTCAGATAGTTTAATTCTTCTTTATTTCTCTGGGCCCTTTGGCGATAAGTGCCGTAATGTGAGTGCCATAAATTACGTAGATTGACAGCTCTGATCAGAATATAACTCTCCCAGAAGGGAGCTCGCTGCAACTGTGGGGTGTCGGTGTAAAGAATACATTTCTGCATCCGAATAAAGACCGTGTCTTAGTGATACTCTCCTTGAAGGATGTGTACGAACTAAGCGAGCTTCTGTTTCAATCGTTTTTCCATCAAATAATTGGTTGTGCATCAAATAATTGGTAGTAGTTTTCGGTAAAGCTATGCAAGACATCCTGAACAACCAATTGTTAGAAGTGTGGTCAGAATGGGACTAGAATATCATTTGGCAATGAGACTTTCTGGAAACTCCATAGGAACTATGCGAAGAAACATTCTCAGACATCGCCTGATGTGCGATTGAACCGATTGAGTTTCGAGGTACAGGCAGTTGATATATGTACGTGTTTATTCATAACTTATTTTAGCTGATTTTCGTGGAATACACTAATTTCATCACTTCTAATATGTAGTTGGTACCCCTCTAGTGTTTGATACAAGATTTAAAAGTAAATAGAAACCAAATAGAGTCAAAGCTCGTCGGCCTGTCATGCCACTCAGTTGAGGCAGTGCGTGTGGTGTTGGCCGTCGAGTTGTTTGTGGGCTTGTGTTTTGTTACTGTTATTGTCACACGCCACGGCTCTCTCTGCTGCGGCAACAACATCCACTTCCGCAAATCATTTAGTGAATCAATTAAGCGCGAGTGGAGGCGGCAGTAACGGGGCGTGGCCACCCAGCCATAACCGATTTTTATCTGTACCGTCGCGTACCGTCGTAGCTGTTGGCATTACCGTGAAGTGCGTCGGCCAATGCTTATGCAACGAGCGGGGCGGTGCAGGACGGGGTCGACTGTGATGTGATGGCCACTGAAGGGCCAATGACTTGCAGCATGGAGGGTGAAGGATGGAGGATGGAGGATGGAGGCGGGGCAATGACATTGACGCGTGTGTGCATCCGCGGCAGGATTTAAGTGGCAGCTGAGATTCCGCCAAGCGAGCAAAATGTTGCAAATGCCGTTGCCGCTGGCTGCGTCATCGTCCTTGTCCCTGCAACGGCGTCAACACGGTCCCAGCCATCTGCTCCCTCTAATCCTTTCTCTGCGAGTTGTTCATTTGCCAATTACGCTCAGCACAGCACCCAGAAGGACGAGACGGGACAGGACGGTTGTTTATGTTCTCGTGGCAGAGAAAGGGGCTTAGACGGGGAACGAGCTGTTGGCAACACAAACACTTCTAGCCGAAATGCCTGCTCCGATTCGATTGCCAACGTGATATTAATTATTCTCTCTCGAACTGTATTTTCCCCTTTTCCCCCTGCGCGCAAACGAATAAAGGTCTTAGCAGGACGCCGCCGTTGGGGGCGGATGACGATGACGATGACGATGACGCCGTTCGCTAATTGAGTCCACATTACTTGCCAAAATATGTTTTGTATTTTTAGCCAAATGCTCTTGGTTTTATTAGCCGAGCGTGAATCGGCAACAATCTGCAGAACGATTTTCAGAACTTTCCACTGCAGATGATGAATCCTTTTGGCCCAGTGCAAAATGTCAAATCGTTTAGAGAGGCATGGGATTAGCAAGTGTTGATAGACAGTCCCGAGACGTGACTGGCAATTGTCGATTGGATGTGTGGATAAGGAAGAGGATGCGGGTGTGGATGTAGATGTGGATGTGGCTGTAGATCTGTGCAGACAGATGGCAGGGACTCTAAAGTTGCACAAACTTTCGTCGGGCTTACTGGTCGAAGTGCAAAGGAAACTTTTGGGTGCCAACAGATGGGGCAAAGTGTTGGGGTAATGTTTCAAAATTATTGATTATGATCTAGCAGAAGGTATTCCATGTCCAGCACATTTCTGAATGGTTCGAATCAGTGTCCTCATTCTAGTAAGAGCTGGGATCTTTTAGCAGGCTCGCATTTTAGGAATAAATTTCGCATCTGAGAGGATTTCCACTCAGAGAGGAAACCATTGCAGGCCTTCATTATGGCTCGCCACTCCTTCGGCCACTTTACATATCCGCTCATTTCGCTAACGAGCAGAACCACTGAAGCGCCCAGCAGAACCGAGTGGCGCCCATGATGTCCGATCCACACCTGATGACACGGTTTACATAGAGCTGAGCAATTTGGAGCGCACTTCACTCTGGCTGTGGGCTGTGGGCTGTGGGGCTGTAGGGCTTTTGGGGCAGATGGATTTTAACCTAACGAACGGTGAATGTGAATGCCATGCCCCAGCTGCAGCTGCAGCTACAACAACTACAACTAACGCTGCAAGTGCACAAAACGCTGCTTCTTCGGCTGCCGCAGACCCTGCCGCTGCCCAGCTCCTCCGCTTTTTTGCTGGTGGCGGGTTGACAATTTAATTGATGTGCACTCACACAAAGGCTTTTGAAGCCACCGCTGGAAAAATAAAATGAAATAGCAGTGACACCTAGCCACCATATACACATACATATACCAATACATATATGTACATATATATCGTATCGTATCGTATCGCATATAGGGAGCCGAGAGCCAGAAGTAGGTCAGGCATGCAACCCGCTGTCACCGCTGAATAATTGGAGAGGGTCGTCTCCCTCTCCCAGCCGAAAATCACCCGAATCCGCAACCCAAAGCCAAAGCCAAGCCAAGCCGGAGCCGGCCCAGAACCCCTCTGACTGCAGGCGATGGAGGGGCGGGGCAAAAGAACAGCGGCAACCGCTTAATGGGTTTAAATTTTGATTTCGTTTGACACGCGGCTGACACAACTAATAAATTTCTCGAGCCGCGTCAAGTGCAGACGCAGAGCCTCGACTGGCCAATACCCACATCTCCCCCGCAGACACCACTCCAGCGCCACTGATTGATTGTCTGCTGGCCTGGCGCTCGGGTAATAGCTGATAGGGGATAGCCCGAAAGCCCACCCGATCCCCAGGTGCCAGCCCCAGGCAGCACCAAGCAGCACCAAGCAACACGAATGCACTACATGAATTACGACGAGTGGCAGCGGTGATAACTGGCCAGATAAGCGCCTGATTAGCAGTAGCTCCTCTATTGGAGTTGCACTCGTCCCAATATTTACCCAGTTATTCAAGAGTGACGCGAGCTCCTGGAGCTGCTGCTGTGGCCATCAATCACTTGGCCTGTTTGCACGGACAGCCGCTGCCTGCTCACGGGGGCCCAGGGAGGCGTCCGTTGCCCAACGAGTGTGGTGTTGTAAATTTTACAACATAATTTTTGATAATGCCTCCTATCTGCGCGCAAACATCTCCAGAGCAAACAAACACTTTGCATGTGTTTTACGATCCCATTCCCCACGGACTTCCTTTCCCTTTCTCCGGCTACTGATTTATTTTTTATGCAGCAGGGCACTGTCGCGCTTGCAGCCACGTTCCGAGGTGGCTGTAAATTCTTTGTTGGGCCTGCGACACATTGTAAAACAATTTCCCTCGCTTTTATTGCTCTGGTGACATTTTCTGGCAGGATTTTGTATGCGGAGTGCGAGTGCACGAGTGTTTGAGGAAGATAAGACGGCGATAGTGGGGAAAGGTGTTTGGGACTCGGACTGAAGGCTCCTGGATGGCTCCTGGCTGGCTCCTGGGTAGACTTTGAGTCGAATGAGTGTGAAGATACTATCTGTTCCCTACAAGCGAACTATTCGTAGGCCATTTCCAATTCTTCGACTATGATTTCTAAGGGCAATTCGTAATCTAATTGCTGGACTATTCCTACATGCACCAGCGAAAGGAGGCAGCAAGCAGCCTCACGAAGCGGATACTGTTCTGTCGAATACCAACGGATGCAAAACTAAAAACTAAGAGACACGAATTACGAGGCAGAACATATGGGCCCTTGGGCCAGGCCTCCACTTAATTGATAATCGATTGCTGGCCCCGAGACCAGGAGGAGCTTCTGTCGGCACAAAAGGACTTAAGCGATTCTCGGGGGGTTCGATTCTAACAACTCACCGATTAGCCGCAGCACCTCGTGCAGATTCAGGAAGATGTTCAGGTGGGCCTGGGCGCCGCTCAGGAGGTAAAGTAATCCAATAGCGAAGACATTTCTCCGGATGCCGGCCATTTCGGTGGGTCTCGTCTCGTCTCTGCTTTTTGACACTTTTCGCCTTCAGCTGTTCAGCTTTTTCTTTACTCAATACCGTTACACAGTTTTCTTCGTTCTGTTTCTTTCTATTTTCTTTGCTTTACTTATCTTGCTGCACTGGCAAAAAACCGATTATTCGCTGCACTGTTTAATCTTTTAGTTTTAATTGAGAGTCCGGATGACTACAAATGGTTGATCGATGGACACATATAATTATTTTTCAGCGCATTTGGCACCACGCTGCCTTTCAAACGCTCATTCGAACGCTCGAAATTAACTCGACTCTACCGACTCTACCGACTCCGCGACGAATTTTCCGCACCGTGACCGACCTTGCTCGAAGATTTTTCCCAATTGATGGCAACGACGAAATTCAAAATTCAGTTATTCGCGGTCTCTTTCACCGAACACGAATACGGTATATACGAGAGCAGGGTGTGTTCGCACAACGAGGTAGCGCTCAGCAACATGCTGCGCGCACCCCACTCTAAAATGTTGCTAGAAAAAATGCAACACTTGAAACACAGCAGGAAAAATTTCGTTGAGACAATTTTTAAACGTAGGAAAAATGTTATGTTTTAATTAATTTTTCCATTTTTATTTGGCTTTGTCTCGTACTTTAAAGATTGTTATCGAATTTCAAAAAGCGTTATCGAACATGTTTTGTCAACATGCTGGGAGTAAACATGTGCTTGTAAACTTGTATACGCAGCATGTTGACAAAATATTTTTGCTGGTATAACAGTTTCCAGCAGGAAGGAAAAAACTCAACAGATGAGCTCACATTAACAGTGCGATAACATTAAAACTGCTAACAAGTATAAGCGAAACTGTTAGTTCAACTACTTACACTACTGGCCAAAAAAATAAGTACATCGGCGTCGTCCTAGTTTGTTATGGAATGGCTCGAATTATTGTAAATATATTGATTCCAATAGTTTATATTTGGAAAGGTTACAGTCTTGCTAAATATTTAAATCAAAAATATTTAAATCCTAAGGATTTAAGGCTTGTTGGTTTTTATTGAGTTCTTTCATATTTAAGTACATGAGAGTTAACAAAAATTGTTTAGATAGGCCGTACTGCTGAAGAAAAGAAGTAAAAGTAAACCATAAATCTTCAAAAAGAAAGGAAAATTCTCCGTGAAATTCCGAAAAGTCTTGGACGCTCGGTATTTAAAATCTATCTATCTGCTTATTGAAAATCGATAATCAGTCTTGCAAAAAAAGATCAGTTCATGTCTTCCAAGGCGATATCCGCTCAAATTGGCAAAGAAAAATCAGCTGTAATGGTTCGTCGGAGACTTCAATATACAGACTTAACAGGACGTATTGTCCGGAAAGTTGCCTTACTCCGAGTAGAAAATTTGTAGATGAGGCAAAAAGTCGTCGAAAATCATTTGGCATTGTCTGGGTCAGATGGGTTTTAAAAGTGGAATAATATATTATTTAGAGACGAAAAAAAAAATCTTTTTGATAATGACTCCAGAAGATGTATACAACGACGCAAAGGCAAAGAATTCGATGTCCGGCACACAAAGAATAACTATTTGGACTCCTCGGCATAGGAGTTACGTATGCAAATTTTAACCATGTAAATTAATGTGTAGGAAATATGATAGGGCAATTGGATAAATAAATAAATGCTGTTATTTCTTTGATTTATTTAAATATGTTAAAATACAAGGCTGCTGCTGTTCTGTAAATAAATTAAAGTAATTAATACATTTCACATATGAAAATCTCCTCCAAAAGATCCACCATGCCAAAAAAAAAAAAACTCAATATAAACCGATTTCCATATTCTTAACTTATTTATTCAATTGACAATAAATTTTATTAATTTGCATATAAAAGCTGATTAAAATAAGCCAAAGCACATTAGCACAATAAATGTTTTACGGATAGTCCTACCCGATTCGCAGATTTGTTTTTATTTTGTACCCCAACCTCAAAATCCACTTCTGTTTTTATACCCGATACTCAAAATGAGTATTGGGGTATATTAGATTTGTGGTGAAAGTGGATGTGTGTAACGTCCAGACGGAATCGTTTCCGACCCCATAAAGTATATATATTCTTGATCAGCATCAATAGTCACGATTGAGCCATGTCTGTCTGTCCGTCTGTCCGTCCGTCCGTCTGTCCGTCTCCTTCAGCGCCTAGTGCTCAAAGACTATAAGAGCTATTTATTTATTTATTAAATTAACAATTATCTGTTAATACTGGTACTTAGTTACTAAATGCGGAAAAAGATAAGTTAAAAGTTAGCTAAATTTAAATGATTATAAATATTGCATGCAATTAGTTTAAGAGACAGTTCAGCTAGAGCAACGATGCTTTGGATCCAGACTTCTGTGATATGTCACTGCTACAAAAATATTTCAAAACTTCTCCCCGCCCACTTCCGCCCCCACAAAGGACGAAAATCTGTGGCATCCACAATTTTAAAGATACGAGAAAACCAAAAACGCAGAATCGTAGAGAATGACCATATCTTTATGACTGCAGAATCTGAATTGGATCGTATTATTATTATAGCCATCATCAAGAAAACAATTTCATTTTTCTCGCCCTGTCTCTCTCTAACACACACGTAGCATAGGCGGCTTTGCTTAGAGTAAAACATTAGCGCCTTGATCTCAGAGACTATAAAAGCTAGAGCAACCAAATTTAGTATCCGCACTTCTGTTAGATCTCACTATAAAACGTATATCTCAGAATTTCGCCCCACCCCCTTCCGTCCCCGCAAAGGACGAATATCTGGGGATATTCACAAATCTCAAAGACTATTAACGCTAGAGTAACCAAATTTGGTATCCGCACTCCTGTTAGATCTTACTATAAAACGTATATCTCAAAATTTCACCCCACCCCCTTCCACCTACACAAAGGACGAAAATCTGTTGCATCCACAATATTGCAGATTCGAGAAAACTAAACACGCAGAATCATAGAGAATGACCATCTATCCGGTTGCTGAATCTGGATCAGATCGGATTATTTTTGTAGCCAAAAGCAATAAATCAATTTGCAGTGGCTACGCAGCGCCCGACGTCTCGCTCAGACTGATTTTCTGTCTCTCTCGCACGCACTCTTTGTTGTGTCGTTTAATATTAGCGGCGTCTGACGGAGGAGAGCCATACTGACTTAGTATCGGGTATAACTGTAGAGTTGCGGTGTCCGCAGCAACTCACAACGTTCCCCCTCGTTTACGTCTCCAGAGTGGGGTTTCCTTAAATGTTATCCGATCCGACTAATTTTTCTTTTTTTTGTCGATAAATCAAAAGTACATACTAAATTGATTGATTCATATTCATATAATTAAAGACAAATATTTTTCCAAATGATACTTTTTTCAACGGTCATTTAGTAATTTGATCAAGCAAAGGAAACAAATTCAGTAAAATTATAAAAACCATAAAAACTATAAAAATTATACAAATTATAAATTTGTTTAACAAAAACAACATTTTTTCCAATAGGTTATTTTGTTTTCTATTAACTAATAATAAACAATATTAATTGCGGTGTCGCTTTTATTACACATTTGACGCTATTGGACATCCAATCGTATAAAACCTTCAGATATTCATCCGTTATATCCTCAAACCTGACTTTTATAAAGTCTATGTAAACCTAAATAGCTTGCACTCTCTATCGGATTGAGGTCGGTGCTGTTAGATGGCCCATCTAGGGACTATTGTCCACTTCCGGCTTCAAAATGTTTATCTGTCGTTTATCTAGTTGAATTTGAAAAATGATATTTTCTTCTCCCGCAGCAACTGATTCCATACTGGACACAACTCCACTGCGAATAATTTCTTCATACTTTTTTGCATTCAGCAATCCCTTAATCATACATAATTAGCGCTACAGTTTTATATTTAGATATGTTTCCCAAGATCATACATACAACGCGAATGCTTTACGGTGGCAATGCAGCAATTTTTGGAAAAGCATTGTCCTCTTCTGTAGTTATTTGACAGGTGTCCTTGCTATTAAAGGCACCTCCTTTGGCCGACGTTGAATAGTTCGTGCCGAAATATCGTCTGCAAAACGCTGCTACAGTTCTATTGATATCTTAACATAATTTTTAAACCAATTATGAATCTTGTTTAATAATGACACGATCTTTCCTTATCCCATTGCTAAGATTGGTACTATGTACATAATATTAATTAATTAATTACTAGTATAAAAAAAAACGTTTGAACCTATTGGAAAAAATTTAGTTTTTGTTGTGAAAAGTTTTTTTTGTATTGAATTTAATTTTTGCTTCCGTTGGGTACAAATTACCGAAATGGGGTACAAACGTGTGCTTTTAAAAATAATTTGTTTCTAAGTATATGACTATGATGTAAAAACAAATTAGTATAAACTTTTGTTTGAAATTGATAAAGTGACAACAAAAAATAAAAATTAAAGAAAACGGATAACATTTAGAAAAACCATGCTGAAGAAGTCAAATATGCGTGAGATTTCAGAGTGCGGCAATGTCGCTGGGTGTATATAGCAAAAATACCGATCAAAAGAACAACATACATTTGTACATATACCATCTCAATATCTGCAAATCATCCCGTTAAAAAACAATCAGATTGGATTATCCAGAAACAAGAAGTGAAATTCGCAGCATATCGACGATCATCAAGTAATTGATAATTTACATGTAGATCAGGTGGAAGATCAGCGCGAAGCGCCATCTGTCACATCTGTGTACTATAAAATTAATACTATAAATACAAATTATCATAGTCGCTTATCGGCGCTTTGAAATTGTTTTTGCCTTTCAATTTTCGATTTTTTCTGCATATTTCTGCATATATTTAACTAATTTTCAATTTGGTTTATCCTTTAGATGAACAACGAAAACAACGCAAAAAACCAGCGAGGTGGTGGAGCCGGTTCTCGGCTGATTTGTCTATTAAAATCTTTTAATTTTAAATAATGCTGTACGCAACTGTTTTTATAAGTCAAAAAATTACTGATTATATAAGTTAAGAATAAAAAGAAAAACCACATATTGAAATTAATCTGAATATGCATTTATTTGTATATGACTTTTTATAAGAAAGCCATTTTATTTAATTAAACTTTTTGTTTCGATTTGAAAATTAATTAGTTTTATTTTAAAACCGATTTTAAAGCTCAGAAGCCACCCTAATGCACTGGCGAGGCGTCTTGCCCAGATACCGGCGTAGGCTGGCCAGAATGATCAAGCATGATCTAAGAGAAGCTCTACCATAGAAACCTGGACAGATAATTGAACCAAATAATATACCCCTCCAAATTCTTCGACCCTGATGACACGCATTTTTATACCCGATACTCAAAATGAGTATTGGGGTATATTAGATTTGTGGTGAAAGTGGATGTGTGTAACGTCCAGAAGGAATCGTTTCCGACCCCATAAAGTATATATATTCTTGATCAGCATCAATAGCCGAGTCGATTGAGCCATGTCTGTCTGTCCGTCTGTCCGTCCGTCCGTCTGTCCGTCTGTCCGTCCCCTTCAGCGCCTAATGCTCAAAGACTATAAGAGCTAGAGCAACGATGTTTTGGATCCAGACTTCTGTGATATGTCACTGCTCCAAAAATATTTCAAAACTTTGCCCCGCCCACTTCCGCCCCCACAAATGGCGAAAATCTGTGGCATCCACAATTTCGACGATACGAGAAAACTAAAAATCGTAGAATCGTAGAAGATGACTATATCTTCCAGAGTGCAAAATCTGAACCAGATCGTATAATTATTACAGCCAGAATCACGAAAACAATTTCACTCTTTCTCGCTCTGTCTCACTCTAACACACAGGTTTCATGGTCGGTTTTGCCAATTGCAAAATATGAGTTCAAGGATCTCAGAACCTATAAAAGCCAGAGCAACCAAATTTGGTATCCACACTCCTGTGATATCGGACCTTGACCATTTCATGTCCAAATTTCGCCACACCCCCTTCCGCCCCCGCAAAGGACGAAAATCTGAGGCAACCACAAATCTCAGAGACTATTAAGGCTAGAGTAACCAAATTTGGTACACACACTCCTTTAAGATGTCACTATAAAACGTATATCTCAGAATTTCGCCCCACCCCCATCCGCCCCCACAAAGGACGAAAATCTGTTGCATCCACAATATTGCAGATTTGAGAAAACTAAAAACGCAGAATCATAGATAATGACCATATCTATTAGATTTCTGAATCTGGATCAGATCAGATCATTTTTATAGCCAAAAGGAACAAATCAATTTGCAGTGGCTACGCAGCGCCCGACGTCACGCTCAGACTGATTTTCTGTCTCTCTCGCACGCACTCTTTGTCGTGTCGTTAAATATTAGCGGCGTCTGCCGGAGGAGAGCCATACTGACTTAGTATCGGGTATAACCGTAGAGTTGCGGTGTCCGCAGCAACTCACAACGTTCCCCCTCGTTATTTATTATTTTTTTTTCTAAATCGTTATTTTTCCTGTGACTGTTGTATAAGTTGCTCTAAGAGTAACAGCAAAAAACATCAAAAATACAAAGTACAATAAAAAAAAAATAAAAATAAACAAAGAAAAAAAGTAATGTTTTAGGTTTTCGTAGTATAAGTTTTGTATTATATAAAATAGTAGTTTTACTAGGTTAAGTTTTGTACTATACAAAATAGGAAAAAAATACGTGAATTTTTACGATTTTATATGCTGTAACATAGCTTTGTAATAGTTTTTTTTCTTCCGAAAATTGTTTATTGTATGGAACACGAACAACAATGGAGTTAATATATTTATTAACAGGCACACGCGGGTGTGACTATCGTAACACGAAGAAAACACGCTCCGGGCCACCTCTATTTTCAATGCTGTGCTGCAGTGCTTACCATTAGTTTGTATATGTGTAGATGTCCGTTCATGATGAGCTTAAGATTCTCGATCGGATTAAGAGCAGGACCATTTCCCGGTCAATCCAATGTCCTAATTCCCACCATTGTACCTGAGCCAGGCAGCAAGTGCATCTCCTTGAATTTTTCATATTTCTACTGCAGAGTTTTGCAAACTCCTTTCGATTTAAAATTTTTGAGATCATTATTTTCCAGCCTTCTTAGCACCAACTCCTATCTGATGGACCATCTGAATTTGAAGGGCTGGGATCGGAAAGTCTACCCTCAAGCTGTTAACACAGACTGAAAGACTTACCAAGACATTGATTCAGGAACAAATTCCAATTGAATTTATATTCGATTCACGTGGAGATCCTGTACGTAAATTGTGTTTTGTGCTATCCTTTGCCTCTGATCGCGACACCTCTCCCTCCTCTTCGTCTGTTAATCAGTTCCCTTGGCAGCTGAGTCAGTCTGCTTCGGATCTGCGAATCCAATAACAAAATACTCAGTATTTGGCGACGTGCGTTGCGATTGAATGTTTTCGCAATCTTTTTCAATTTGTTTATTCAAGCGATTGATGCATACCTTATAGAATAGTATAGTGCGACACATAAACTAAGAAAACGATTACTTTATATAAATATTTTAAATGTTTAATGTGCATTTTTCTGTCATAGCCTATTTGTGGAATGTAGTTTTCACAAGACGTAGGGTAGATTGTCTGGTTGATAAGTTGGCATTGTTCGAAGAATAAATCTTTTAGAATCTAAAATTACACTGCGAACCTCATGGTGGTAGTTTTCATTTGAAATCAATGTTGATCTGCACTGATTGGAAAAAATCGAACAAATTAAAGCATAGACTAGCCGAAAGCTTATCAAATACTGACACTTAAGATGTTAATCCGTTTGGATTTCAATATGTTTTCAATATGCTACAAAACAATTATATTCAACCAAAATCTAAAATTTCACAGTCAGGGTCGTATTTCTATTATTGGTTTATAACGAACAATCGATTTTGACAATAAGAAAATAGGCAAACGAAGAGTTTTAAAAACAGTACTTTGATACTTTGAAATTATTCTTGCAATTACCAGTTATCTAATGACTTGGCCAGGCATCAAGCTAACGCTAGGGTTTACAAGTGCAAAACCACTGTAGCACACTTCCAAGAGGAAGCGATGTGTGCATTTTATCAAAACTACAGTGGAGTGCGTGTCAGCAGAGGGATAGTGGGTTAGTGCATTAATTGGATCAGCGGCAGAGTCTCACTCACTCTACGTCTGATCCCCTTATATTTGTGTTTGGCCTTCGGTAGCTTACAACTTATATTATATTAATATACAACTAAAAGACGTAATTAAACAATTATACATAAATATTTGACGAATTATACAAAAAACAAGCGGCAATTTATGTAAGCCTATATACATTGTACATAGTCGTATGTATGATGACAATAGGAACCATTGAAATAAAATTAAACACCGAAACTTTCGAACATCTAGGAACGAGCCATGGCCAAGTTTCAAAGAGAGCATATTCTATTAACTTCTGTCCGCCTCCTGCCAGGATGTAGCTTAGACTATACTAGGATACATACTTAATAACCCAAATACTCGATATTTTGACACAATACTTTGGCCTACATGTTATACTAATGTTTTGTTTATATGTTATATGTATTTTTACAATGAGCACCTATTCCTCCACTTTCAGCTGGTCCATGGAACTTAGAGTCGTTTCGATGAGTAAATTGTAGTCTAATTCATTCAGACTCGCCTTCGCCGTCAGCAAATCAAGAAAAGAGTCCAGAGGAGACAGTGTTTCTGCACTAAGATCTGAAACATAAGGTGTCACATAAGTTAAACATTTAGAAACTACAATGTAAAGAAACAAGAAACAAAAACACAAAAGACACGAATTGCTTTTTGAGACACGACGGAGACTGGCAAACACGGAGTTTGATGATTGATGGCGCTGTCATCGCTTACCAGTCATGGAACAGATGAGAATCAGCTTTGAGTGTTCTACCAAATGCGGGACCGTTGCCTGAACACAACGCTAGAAATGCTCAGGACGGCGGTGGTTAAAATGATAATTAGGAAAACCAAAAGAAGCGAATGGCAAACAAGTGTGTGAGGCTTTCCCAAAGCTGGATCGGAGGATGAATGGATGTGCAAATGAAATTGATTCGAAAGAAGAATGGTGGAAAAGCAAATCTCACCGCTCCTCGCGTTGGTCCGCAACTGGTTGGCCCCGGCAGAAGGTCGCTGCTGGTGTGGAGCTTCCTGCTGTTGGCCCGAAAGGATGTTCGCCGCATGCTCCCGCCCACGGATCATGAGGCTGTCCGGATGCTGCCAGCATTTCAGCAGCCTCTGGGCCCGCTGTTTGGGCAGGGCTGTCAGCAACAAGAGTTTTCGCTCAATCCCCAGTGGGGAGTCTTCGATATCTGCAAAGGAATCGAATCGGAAGTAAATAAATGCTCCAAATTAATACTCGAAAGTAGTCCCACCGTAGACAATAGTCTTCATCACATCCACCTGCAGTTCAAACACATGGTTCTCAACGTACTGCAGGAACATGTCAAATTCCAAGGCCCGATAGCCCAGGTAGGTAAAGAACGAAGAGAAGCCCTCGGGCAGAGGAAAAGCAATCGATTCCACGGCCAGACAATAGCGCTCCAGAATGAGAAACAGCGAATGCTGTTGACTACCAGCCATTTGGTCACTAAAAAAAGTCCATTAAGCAAGTTTTCGAGTAATGCCCAATAATAAGGAGTCACATTTCCTTCACTCACATCAACTGAAATCCCCTCAAAGTCTCCAGACGTGCATCGAGACCCGTAGCGCGGCAAACCAGCGAGCATAGCGCCCTGGAGAGCTCCAGCTGTGAAGAAACGAACTGCGAGGCAACGGCATGGACGTGAGCCGGAGCCTGCGACCGCTCGAAGAAGGTCTCCTTGAGCCAGCGGAATCCTGTTTGTGGTTTCGACGAGTGCTTTACCAAATGGACGCTCAGCTCACGTAAATACTACCAGGAGTACGCCAGCCAGCATATCAATAGAAAAGTCAATAGGGAAAAGGAGTTTATTTCTTACCACAGAGATGACATGCTCCTGTTTGCTGGCCGTGCATCCTTCAAGCTCTATGAAGGGCAGCACCTCGTTGCTGAACGGAAACGCACTGCTGCTGCTGTAGTCCCCAAATCCACCAGTGCCCGTATCCGGCGTCATCGGTGTGGTAGAACGGGAGAGAGCCTCCGGCTGATAGCACGCCAAACTGAAGATCAGCTTTTCTGTGACCTGTTCAGCGCTGAATCGCGGCTGCTCCTGCTTGGCTGACTCGTTCAGAAGGTCCCAGAGACGTGTCCAGATGTCGGTGCGATAGGGCGATAGACGCTGTTGCGGCGAGAGCAACATCATGCTGGTGTTGTGAAGTGTCTCGTGCGACAAACCCACATTGATGTCAGCCACACGGGCATGGATAGAGCGCGAAGCCACGGCCGTTGTCAAAGGTATGAGTCTCATCAGCGGCTTGGCTTCTTCGGGCAAACCTCGATTGGCGGCCGCATAGCTGCCGGCCACGAGGGCCTCCTTCAGCAGGGCCACCGTATCGAGGGATAGAGGACGCTCCAAAATGGTATTCAGCAGCTCTGCCAGGACATCCAAATCATTAGAATGCAGTAAAAAATAGTGAATGATGCTGATGCGATTGTCCAGGGAGCTGTCATTTCGGAACGCCTCAATGAGATGCGATCTGGGTACAGTCAGCGAAACCAAGTCCAAGGTGGCTGTATCATAGGCCAAGGTACCCCACTTCCTCAGAGGCACCAGCTGGGTAAGATCCGGCCCTCGGTTGTGGGCCGCACAAACGATGTGGCAAATGGGCTCGTGCTGCAGTCCCACATCCAGCAGGTGCACAAAGAAGGCCGAGGAAACGAGCAAATGGTGCTGGCCATGCAGAGCAAATGTCGGCCGCAGCAAGCGAGCCTTCTGCCAGGGAACGCCCGGCATGACACAGTGAACCACACAACCGTGATGCAACAGCGTTACAGAATAGGCAAAGTGCACCTCCTGCTGCTCCGTCTGCATGGGCTGGTACAGGTAATAGTGGCAGACGAAGAACATGCCCGAACTGTCCGCCAGAATGATTAAGTTCAGCGTGCTGTCATGCACGCGCAGAGGAACAGCATCGTCGTCGTAGCTGGGCGTGGAATCATTGGAGTCATTGGAGCCCGTTGGCAGCTTCGGTAGATTCAGGGGTATATTGAGCTGTAAAGGATCGAATGCACCATTTCAACTGGGTTTATCAGGGTATGTCGCCAGACTACCTACCACCGTTTCCGTCGGCTGTTTCTCGTTAAACTGAAAAGCGGACAGTGTTGGACTCAGCGTGGGAGCTGTCTGCTCGCCAGCCTCCTCCCGTTCGTCCAGCAAACTGAGACTCTGGGCCTTTGGCTTGAGGTGTATGTAGTAGAGGGCCTGACACTCTGCATCCCACTGAGCCCAGCTGAAATTCTTGGCCAGTGTTTCCTGGGTCAGTATGCTGGTGTCCAGACGCCAGGCACTGCCTTCGGCTCCACCAGGTTGCGTTGTTGTCGAGCTTTGTTTGACAATGCAATTGTACTGCTTGATGGCTGCACGGGGAATATGGTTAATGGGGAACACCTTAACGGCCGACTCGGACTACAAATACTTACATTCCTCGTGGGTCAGCACCAACAGCTTGTCCTGCCAGCAGGTGCGCGTGGCACCCTCCACACGCCACAGAAACTGCGTCATTATCTGGCGCGGCGAGGGATCCACGTTAAGGGGCGTGGGCGTGCCGACTTCGGTGCTGCGCACCTCCACCACGAAAGCCTGGTAGAACTGTCCCTCGGTTTTCACAACATACGAGAGGAGAGTCACGCTGCTGTTGATGCTCGCCTGGATGACCTCGCAGCAGGGCATGGTCCATAGCAGGCGCAGCTGCTTTTTGGTGGCATGGAAATGTCCAATGCAGGTCTCACGTCTCTTTTCATCGTCCATATAATCAAATATCCAGGATGTTAACAGTGATCCGTCCTGCTCCTGCCCCAAAATTCGCCATTCGTTCGCCTTTTCTGCTCCGAGAGAGCAGTGGAATGCTCGATTAGCTGCAAATGGCTTTGAAGTCGAACCAAAAGTACTTGCCTGTGTGTCCCTGGCTGGCCAGAAGGCCACAGAAGTTGGCGGCCAAGTTCTCCTGACGCAGCATTGTGATTTTTATTTAAAAACTTTTCATTTTTTGTGCAGCCCACGGATGAAAAAAATAATCAATAACAACAGCTGTTTTCGCGACTAGCGGTGTGACCGTAAACTGAAGTATACGACATAAATATATACAAGATACTAATAATGTACATGAATATGTCTAAGGAATATCAATTTGAGAAAAGGTCTTAATAAATCACATTTCATCTTCATATAAAATTAACAAAATAGGGTATACAAAGGCCTATACTAGGGCTTTAGCGACTGTTTTTTTTGTTGAACTATTTTGTTTAAACCTTGTTTTAGTCAAAATACAATAAAAGCAAGTAATAAAAATAAGCCAGTTAAGTAGAAAATTGATTCATCAATAGGGTAAAATTATGTGGGCACGGCTAAAAGTTCTATATAGCTAGTAATATTCAACGGAAGAAAGAAAACGAGGAATATGTAAAATATAACTTGAATTTCTCAGTATATTTACGGTATATTCTTAAAATAAGACGGTATATTTTGTTTTTATTCATGAGGGTCGGACGGTTCTGCAAGAACAGTTATTTTGAATAATTTTTTCTGTGCAAGCAAAATCTTTGAAAAGTTTAAAATGCCGAGTGAAATAATTACGCTACAACTGGGCCAATGCGGCAATCAGAGTGAGCTGAGCAAAAGCTTCAACTTGTAATTTCACATGCTAATTTTCTGCTTAAGTTGGTTTTGAGTTCTGGAAGCGATTGTGCCTGGAGCACGGCATATCCCCGGACGGAGTGCTTGAGGACTTTGCAGCGGATGGGCAGGACCGGAAGGACGTGTTCTTCTACCAGGCCGACGACAACCATTACATACCGCGTGCTGTTCTGATCGATCTGGAGCCGCGTGTCATCCAGAGCATCATGACTTCTCCATATGCCAAGGTAAGTCAACTGGTTGGAGTCCAGGGAATCAGTAAATCAGTTTGGAATGTAATGCTTCCGGTCTCGGACAGCTCTACAATCCCGAAAATGTGTTTCTGTCGAAGCATGGCGGCGGCGCAGGAAACAACTGGGCCTCCGGCTTTAGCCAAGGCGAGCGCGTCCAAGAGGAGGTCTTCGATATACTGGACCGGGAGGCTGATGGTAGCGACTCTCTTGAGGGTTTCGTGCTGTGTCACTCCATTGCCGGAGGCACGGGCTCTGGCATGGGATCATACGTGCTCGAGCGCCTCTCCGATCGATTCCCCAAGAAACTCATACAGACCTACAGTGTGTTCCCCAACCAGGACGAGATCAGCGATGTGGTCGTGCAGCCCTACAACTCGATACTCACTCTAAAGCGATTGACGAAGTGCGCCGACAGCGTGGTGGTGCTAGACAACACCGCCCTGAACCGCATAGCCACTGAGCGTCTGCACATTCAAACGCCGACGTTCACGCAAATCAACAATCTGGTCTCCACCATCATGAGTGTGAGCACGACTACTCTGCGGTATCCCTCCTATATGAACAACAATCTGATCGGTCTGATTGCTCCGCTCATACCTACGCCCCAGCTGCACTTCCTTATGACCGGCTACACCCCGCTCATAACGGACTATGAGGTGAGCTGAGTTCTCTTTCTTACCCTTGCATCCACGCGACCATGTTTTGATGGATTCCAGACCAAGGCGAATGTGAGGAGGACAACCGTGCTGGACGTGATGCGGCGCCTACTGCAGCCCAAGAATATGATGGTCTCCTCAACGGCTGACAAGCAGAATCGACATTGCTTTATCTCCATATTGAACATCATACAGGGCGAGGTGGACCCTACTCAGGTGCACAAGTCCCTTCAGCGTATAAGGGAGCGTAAGCTGGCCCAGTTCATACCCTGGGGCCCGGCCAGCATCCAGGTTGCGTTATCGCGCAGCTCTCCCTATGTGCAGACCCCCCACAAGGTGTCCGGTCTGATGATGGCCAATCATACGGGCATTAGCGCGCTCTTTAATCGCGCCCTGGCCCAGTATGACAAGCTTAAGAAGCGCAACGCCTTTCTGGATAATTTCCGACGCGAAGATATGTTCAAGGAGGATCTCAACGAGCTGGACTTGGCCCGCGACACTGTGGACTGTCTGGTGCAGGAGTACGAGGCCGCAACACAGATCGACTATCGCCAGTGGAGTCCCCGTATACACACCCCAAATGGAAAGGCTTGAGCTATGAAATGTATTTGTGTTTATAAAAAAGTTGATGCTGGCGTTGAATACGCCGTACAATACAAGTACATACATATACTTGAATATGTTCCGTTGTATATGTATTCAATTCAACGCTGTTTTATACCCTTGGCTTGTTAAGCCAATATAATCATCTCCGACTCCATATAGTAGATATGTGCATATATTATTCAATAGCCGAGTCTACATCATGCATAGACAGACCATTCGTCGTAATCGATCAGATCGGACCACTGCATATTGTACATATCATATGCCATTGAAACAGTCGGTTCAAAAGCCAAAACTGCAATATCTTGAAATGCTATCTTCATCAGATTTGTCGGATCATAAGGCTGCCATGGACCAGCTTGCTTTGGCGTATGCTTTAAATCACCTTTCCTTGATAAAAGTACAAATCTAGTAGTCTTAAGATAATAATCGAGCTTCTGTCACACGCTTTCTATGAACGTCTAGCGTTTCTCATTCGTAGTTCAAAATTCGATGTGTTAACACATAGAAAAAGATATTTATGTATAAAATATTTGCATTATTATTTCTTAAGTTGTGTCCTTTCTAACTGAATTAGCATCTCGTTGAGCTTCGCATAGCTTTTAGACGGAAACCCCCTAAGTAATCGTAAGTATAATCAGTCAATAATGATCCTTCCCGGCAAAGCACTGATGTCTTTTTCAGAACATGTGTTGTGGACCAGCTTCGTGCTGCCCGAGCTGCGGCCCACCCTGTGGCGGACCCTATTCTACGCAATGTTGCGTGGAGCTCTGCTGTTCCCCCTGTACCCCGGCCTACTTGCAGTGCACCATCTGTCCCTGCCACCCTCGCTGTTGCTAGCCCAGTGAAGGACGAAGAGTTAACATTGTCCTCACGGCGGATAGTCCTATACATTGCTGATCCCAACTAACGAAATGATAATGCAAAACAAAAAAAAATAAATAAAATATAATAGAGGAACGATCATAAGACAATATTGCCTCCATTTGTTCCTTGGGCAGAGATGGGACTATAATTTTTTCGACTGTTGGGCTAGTCCCGGATTTGAACCCAGCTCCACCAGCCAGATGGTCTAGTCCCGTGGGCGATTGCCATTTAATACTCACTTTTGTATTGAGCCTGAACAGGCTGTGGCTTTTCATTTACTAGAATGTGTGTATTCAATCGAATGAATTCAGTTGGTTGCTAAATTCAATTCCGATCCGGTCAGGTGCGTTGTTCGGCTGATTCTCAGATATTTCCACAGGTGAGTGATCGAAAAGGTTGAAAAAGATTCCTTGGAGTAAACATCTCACATACCATATACTCTACATATGTATTTGTATACCTCCCCTTGATTGCACGGTATGTGTACACTGTACAGTCTATATGGCCATATCCCCTGTTTCTAAGCCCATTGTATGAGGGATTCTCTGCAGATAGCGTGCATTACCATTTACCAAAAAAATGGATCAATCACATATAGTACTTTGCATCAAAGCGATCCTTCGGGGAACCTTCATGGGTGCAGACACCCGAATGAGGACTTTATTTTAGTCTAGTCTAGTCTTAGTCTACTATTGGCCTGATTGAATGACCCGCCTTTCGTCCAACCCCCAGAGCCACCATGTGCTGTCCAAGTCGCTATTACCGGAACACGCCGTGCGTGCAGTGCTGTCTCATCGACTGCAGCTACTGCTGCTTCCGATCAGACTGTTGTGGCCCCTGCTGTGGGACCACCCTAGTTTGTGCGGCGGGTGCTGTGGATCTTGCTGCTAGCAGGGCTGAAGATGGACCACGACAACGCACCCCGACCCGGCGGACTGGCAAGCATTCTCCAACTGGATGTAGAATTTATTCTCTTTTATGAACAGCAACAGCAACAGCAACAGAACGAGTAGTAGTAGGCTTCGAATCGATTTGGAGCAGCTGTCCAGGTTGACGAGCTGCCGAATATCGGCTGGAGCTCATTCCGACTTTGAGCCTGGTTGTGAACACATCAAAAAAAGTTTTCAATCTCCAAAAACCAACATCTTTTGGAACCCTTTTTTTGTTTGTGGTAAGTGGTCAAGAAAATCTTGAACGTTGAATGTAACTTCTTCTTAGACTTGGTCTACCTTTGACAGAACACCTGTGCTCTCTGTCGAAACCATCCTCCATCTCCATCTCCTGTTCCTGCTCCTACTCCAGCTGACTACGCTCATCAGGATGTGCTGCAATCCCGGTGGCAGCTGCGGTCTGCCCGCCTGTATCCAGTGCACCAACTTCTGCTTCAACTGCTGGACCGGCACGGCGAGCGTTCCCAGCTGTCGCCCTGGCTACACACCAGCCTGTCCGCTCTATCGCGGCTGCTGCGGTGGGCCTCGAGGCTGTTGCTAGCTACCCTCCTCGATGTCTACGAAACTGAGAAATCAAATTTACCGTCTCTCATAGAAAATCATCTGTGAATAAATCCCAACAAAACAAATCCCAACAAAACAAATCATGTGGGTGGGACTCTGAACTACTATCCTGACCATCCTCGGGTCACAGTGCACCGGCCTATATCTAATACATATATCTATATCAGTCGCGGGTTAAGTTACCAGTTAAAGGGCAGCCATCTAGGCCCCTTACTCTTCACACTCTTTATTAATGACCTGCCTTCGGTATTAACATACTCTCGAGTACTTATGTATGCGGATGATGTTAAACTGTGTGTCCAGTATAAGGACACTTCAATTCATTCTCGCTTGCAATCCGCTCTCAATAACTTTCCTTCATGGTGTTGTGCTAACTTGTTACACCTTAATGCCTCCCTATACCCTATTTGGTAGTTCTCTTGAGAGAACCACCCTGGTGGATGATCTTGGGGTTAAGGTTAAGGTTTTCCGAACACATTTCTACCATGGTAAATAAGGCGTGCTTGGGTTTATAAAGAGGTGGTCAAAGGAATTTATCGACCCCTATATAGCAAAGACTCTCTATATCTCGCTTGTTCGTCCGATCTAAGAATACGGCTCATGTGTATGGTGCCCTCAGTACAAAGTACACCAGGACCGTATAGAATCAGTACAGAAAGTACAGTACAGTAGTAATCAGTAATTGTAGAGGTATTTGTATTTTGAATGCATGCCTAGTTCTCTTAGTAATTTTAGTGCTAATTTTCCTCGAATATTAGTATAACAGCTGTCTTTCCTGCATGCTCGCGTAACAGCCTTCTGCTGGATACAGACGGGCCACTTGACGGTGCAGTAATTGCATCGCCTCTTGCAAGATCCAGTCATTGCATGTCAACGTCCAAGAACTTACATAAGCATCTGACAGCTCTGGATTTATTGCGGTGGATGTCCCCCTCCGTCTTTATCGGGAATCTATAAGCCCCTCTTGTATCGCTGCATATTTTTTCACTCTGGGCCTTTATAAAGACGGTTTTCCTTCATCATGTGGCATGCAGTAGTCCTTTGAACTCTTCTGAAATTCTAAAATCAATATATATGTAGGTATACAATTTTAAACTATTCAATAAGTGGGTCTTATCTCTGAGCGCTCCATCAATGTCTTCAGGCGAGTCTGTAATAAAATGCTATACCGTTAATTTTTGTGGAATTAATGTTTTTTATCCCAAATTAGCCGAATACTTATTGATTATTGTTATCAAATAATTACAACGTTTATTGAACGATATTCAAAATGTAAAGTGGATGCCTTCTTGGCCTTTACGGAACGGCATTGCCGCTCATTCAGATTGCAAAATAAATAGCTTCTGGAAGAAAAACGAAATCTTCATGAAATAATTTGCGTTTAAAAGATAAATCTTTCTCTACAAGAACTCTTTACAATACAGTGTCAAAGTTGAACTTTGTTGCCGGTGCATGTTTTTCTTTATAAAATAACATTTTTTTATTTTTGGATCAATAAAGAACGTTTAATGGTGAATTGCGCTTTAAAAATTATTTTTATATTTAAATTTAATTATAATATATTTAAAAAAACCTTTTACATTTTAATTATAAAATGTCTAATAGTTTATTTTTGTAAAATAATCATCCCCGTTGGAAGTAAAATCTAATTTAATTAATGTTTATAAAGAATAATTATTTGCCAATCACTTTTCCCTGAATTTTTTATATATATATTTTTATCTCACTTTAGAAGCGGATTCTGTGATTTTGACCCTTTCAGCTCCTAGATCAATTTAAGTGGCGCAACCTTGCACGAAAAAGGTTTGTCGCAGTTATAAAATCCCATATAAAATCTTATTTGGACCATTCTAGAAGCTGAACGGTTAAGTCAAAATTGAAAAACAGCCCAAACACTAGATTTGGAAAAAGGCTTTTTTCAGAGCTGCCTGTGCAACATAAAAATACTCAAAAAATAGATATGGAGTTTGAAAAACAAAATTTTCTTTAGAAGTCTGTCCAACGAGCCAATGCTACAAATTAATGCACCTTAAACAAGGGACTGAAACAAAAATCATATGAAACACTGATACACACACTCACTGGAAAAATGTTCAACTTTGAATGCTCAAATCTCCTAAGCTATCTTATGTTTCAGATTTTCTCAAAGTTTAAATTTTCGGAAGCCTTGGAAAATTCTCTATCAGATGCGTATAATCAAATTAGCCAAAGCGTTTACTGCCAACTCTTTTTGGCTGAGGCCCGCCGTCTTTTGTCAACTCGATGGAATGCTCTTAGGACGCTGCTATCTGCACCTGCCGCTGGCGCATTACCTGAGTACTAGTACCAGTGCCGACAACTCGTCACAACAACAGGACAAGCGTGCATCCTTTGGGTAGCTTAGGACATTATCAACACCTACTCGTCGTAGAAAAAAGAAACCTAACGACGGATGCTCCAGAAGTGGAATTTTCACCTCGCGACAATTTCAGGACAGGAGATTTCCTTGTCCGAAATCATCGACAATTTTCCACCGAAATCATCGAAAAATTTGAATTTGATGAAATATTTATTTGTTTATTATAATAATAAAAATTAAAAAATTAAATAAAAATAATTGAAAAGTAACAAGGAACGGGCAGCCTGAGCCCTGTTGAGTGTCGATCCGGTCCTGAAGACATCTTAAGTTCTGTTTCGGAGGCTTGGCATTCTTCTGATATGGCGATATACGAACACAACTTGTCCAACTGATGGGTCCTCTATTTTAAAATACGGCCCTTATGTATTGTGCCCTGCATTCAGTAAAAAGTACACACCTACATATGTACGTATGTTTTGCTTTGAAATTCTTTTATTCACGGATGATTTTCTATGAGAGACGGTAAATTGATTTCTCAGTTTCGTAGACATCGAGGAGGGTAGCTAGCAACAGCCTCGAGGCCCACCGCAGCAGCCGCGATAGAGCGGACAGGCTGGTGTGTAGCCAGGGCGACAGCTGGGAACGCTCGCCGTGCCGGTCCAGCAGTTGAAGCAGAAGTTGGTGCACTGGATACAGGCGGGCAGACCGCAGCTGCCACCGGGATTGCAGCACATCCTGATGAGCGTAGTCAGCTGGAGTAGGAGCAGGAACAGGAGATGGAGATGGAGGATGGTTTCGACAGAGAGCACAGGTGTTCTGTCAAAGGTAGACCAAGTCTAAGAAGAAGTTACATTCAACGTTCAAGATTTTCTTGACCACTTACCACAAACAAAAAAAGGGTTCCAAAAGATGTTGGTTTTTGGAGATTGAAAACTTTTTTTGATGTGTTCACAACCAGGCTCAAAGTCGGAATGAGCTCCAGCCGATATTCGGCAGCTCGTCAACCTGGACAGCTGCTCCAAATCGATTCGAAGCCTACTACTACTCGTTCTGTTGCTGTTGCTGTTGCTGTTCATAAAAGAGAATAAATTCTACATCCAGTTGGAGAATGCTTGCCAGTCCGCCGGGTCGGGGTGCGTTGTCGTGGTCCATCTTCAGCCCTGCTAGCAGCAAGATCCACAGCACCCGCCGCACAAACTAGGCGGGTGGGTGGTCCCACAGCAGGGGCCACAACAGTCTGATCGGAAGCAGCAGTAGCTGCAGTCGATGAGACAGCACTGCACGCACGGCGTGTTCCGGTAATAGCGACTTGGACAGCACATGGTGGCTCTGGGGGTTGGACGAAAGGCGGGTCATTCAATCAGGCCAATAGTAGACTAAGACTAGACTAGACTAAAATAAAGTCCTCATTCGGGTGTCTGCACCCATGAAGGTTCCCCGAAGGATCGCTTTGATGCAAAGTACTATATGTGATTGATCCATTTTTTTGGTAAATGGTAATGCACGCTATCTGCAGAGAATCCCTCATACAATGGGCTTAGAAACAGGGGATATGGCCATATAGACTGTACAGTGTACACATACCGTGCAATCAAGGGGAGGTATACAAATACATATGTAGAGTATATGGTATGTGAGATGTTTACTCCAAGGAATCTTTTTCAACCTTTTCGATCACTCACCTGTGGAAATATCTGAGAATCAGCCGAACAACGCACCTGACCGGATCGGAATTGAATTTAGCAACCAACTGAATTCATTCGATTGAATACACACATTCTAGTAAATGAAAAGCCACAGCCTGTTCAGGCTCAATACAAAAGTGAGTATTAAATGGCAATCGCCCACGGGACTAGACCATCTGGCTGGTGGAGCTGGGTTCAAATCCGGGACTAGCCCAACAGTCGAAAAAATTATAGTCCCATCTCTGCCCAAGGAACAAATGGAGGCAATATTGTCTTATGATCGTTCCTCTATTATATTTTATTTATTTTTTTTTGTTTTGCATTATCATTTCGTTAGTTGGGATCAGCAATGTATAGGACTATCCGCCGTGAGGACAATGTTAACTCTTCGTCCTTCACTGGGCTAGCAACAGCGAGGGTGGCAGGGACAGATGGTGCACTGCAAGTAGGCCGGGGTACAGGGGGAACAGCAGAGCTCCACGCAACATTGCGTAGAATAGGGTCCGCCACAGGGTGGGCCGCAGCTCGGGCAGCACGAAGCTGGTCCACAACACATGTTCTGAAAAAGACATCAGTGCTTTGCCGGGAAGGATCATTATTGACTGATTATACTTACGATTACTTAGGGGGTTTCCGTCTAAAAGCTATGCGAAGCTCAACGAGATGCTAATTCAGTTGGGATTATTAGCTCAGTCTCAGCTTAATTATGGCTCAATTAGAGAACGAAACCCAGAACACAACTAACAAAATGAAATTGCAAATATTTTATACATAAATATTTTTCTCTATGTTAACACATTGAATTTTGAACTATGAATGGGAATTGCTAGACGTTCATCGAAAGCATGATTATTACTTTCAGGATCACTAGATTTTTATACCCGATACTCAAAATGAGTATTGGGGTATATTAGATTTGTGGTAAAAGTGGATGTGTGTAACGTCCAGAAGGAATCGTATCCGACCCTATAAAGTATATATATTCTTGATCAGCATCAATAGCCGAGTCGATTGAGCCCTGTCTGTCTGTCCGTCCGTCCGTCTGTCCGTCCCCTTCAGCGCCTAATGCTCAAAGACTATAAGAGCTAGAGCAACGATGTTTTGGATCCAGACTTCTGTGATATGTCACTGCTCCAAAAATATTTCAAAACTTTGCCCCGCCCACTTCCGCCCCCACAAAGGGCGAAAATCTGTGGCATCCACAATTTCGACGATACGAGAAAACTAAAACAGAAGAATCGTAGAATCTGACTATATCTTCTAGAGTGCAAAATCTGAACCAGATCGTATAATTATTACAGCCAGAATCACGAAAACAATTTCACTCTTTCTCGCTCTGTCTCACTCTAACACACAGGTTTCATGGTCGGTTTTGCCAATTGCAAAATATGAGTTCAAGGATCTCAGAACCTATAAGAGCTAGAGCAACCAAATTTGGTATCCACACTCCTGTGATATCGGACCTTGACCGTTTCCTGTCCAAATTTCGCCACACCCCCTTCCGCCCCCGCAAAGGACGAAAATCTGAGGCAACCACAAATCTCAGAGACTATTAAGGCTAGAGTAACCAAATTTGGTACACACACTCCTTTAAGATGTCACTATAAAACGTATATCTCAGAATTTCGCCCCACCCCCATCCGCCCCCACAAAAGACGAAAATCTGTTGCATCCACAATATTGCAGATTTGAGAAAACTAAAAACGCAGAATCATAGATAATGACCATATCTATTAGATTGCTGAATCTGGATCAGATCAGATCATTTTTATAGCCAAAAGGAACAAATCAATTTGCAGTGGCTACGCAGCGCCCGACGTCACGCTCAGACTGATTTTCTGTCTCTCTCGCACTCTTTGTCGTGTCATTTAATATTAGCGGCGTCTGCCGGAGGAGAGCCATACTGACTTAGTATCGGGTATAACTGTAGAGTTGCGGTGTCCGCAGCAACTCACAACGTTCCCCCTCGTTTTTATTCGGTTCAATAAATTTTAAATGCTCTCAGATTCGATGAAGGTTTGTATTCTTCTGTGATTTTCTGCTGTTTGCAAAAACATTCCCGTTTTTCAATGTGCTTCGAGCAACCCTTGATTAGCTCTATTCTTGTTATCATTGACTATACATAGACATATGCAACTGCTTACTGTCAAAGCCGAACAATCAACGATTGAGATTATGAATGACTATTTTGATATGTTTTCTCCAAGTGTCCACGTATATCCCTTTCGAAGAGGAGCCTGTGGAACCCACTTCTAAGTGAAAATTAAACTCGATTGCTTTATTTAAAAACAAAATAATTTTATTGTGTGTTTGATGGAAATAGAAATTCTTACAATAATACAATTGTGGTTGTTGGTTTTTGTTGCTTGGTTGGTTTATTATTACTGTTACACAACATTTTTTAAATGTTAATTAATACCGTACTTTAATATAATAATAATTTCATGTTTCGTTTTTTGGTTTTTGGTTTTTGGATTTTCTCGTTTTTTAATTACTTCGAAAATTGTGGCCCCTAAGCATTAAAAGACTTTTCATCGTTCTCGTTTTTACTCCGTCCCTACTCGTATTATCTTGCAATTTATTTTTCGATGCTGTTGCTGTTGCTGTTTCTGTTTGCTGTTGTTGGTATTTCGAGTACAATTCATAATCAGTATTCAGTATATATATAAAATTCATAGAGGTGTCTCCCTTCCAGAATTCTCCAGAATTAGCTCTAGCAAGTTGCAGCATTTCAGATATTATTATAATTGTTCCACGTGTATAAAAATATTTATATATAATTTACTGCAAGTTTTTGTTGCTTTTGCTTTTGCTTTACTTACACATTACATTAATGAGTTTTAATCTTTGACTTGTTCTGTTCTTTTTGTTTTTGCTTTTTTATATATGTATACATGTACATAAAATGCACATCAAGTTGGAATCGTAGTAATAATAATAGTTAATGAGTTTATAACGTTCACATTCAATTATATCGTATTCGATTTAGTTAAGATTATGATTACAATACACTTTACTTTGTTCTTTTCTGTTTTCTGTTCTTCTCTGTTCTTTTTTGTTCTTTTCTGTTCTTTTCTGTTCGAATTCAAATCTAGTGGAATAGAAAAAAACACAGCTTTGTGGTTATCGAAAAATAGAAAGTGATCAATTTAAATGCTTCTTCGTTTTGGTTTGATATTCTTGAGAAAGTTGTCATTATCTTTAAACTGTGTGTTTGGTTCGTTGGTAGGATCGGGTACTTGAATGACTGACTGACTGACTGAATGATTCAATGAGTGAGTGGGGGAGTGGGTGAGTGGGTGTGTGAGTGTGTGAGTGTGTGAGTACCATGCGGGGGCTTGAGGAGATGAGATGAGAGCTGATCCTGGCAGTAGGTTGGTTGAGTGTCATGTGGAGTACAGAGTACAAACATGAACCAAATCTAATTCTGTATGTATGAGGTTAAATCTTTGTATGCATATTAGAAACAGTATATAGCATATAGTATGCATTTGGTGGGCGTGTATATCGTTTTTTTTTCATATTTTTTCATTTCTTTCAACACAAAAATTTAACAATTTCCTCTTTCGAAACAGCTGAGAATGGCGCCTGACAAAGTCTCTATATAATATATATATATATATATAATTATGCATATATGATTAAAAATGCCAACCCTCAATGATATACATTATTTGCATGTCAGTCCATATTTTCCACATTCTTGTCCTTTGCTTTAACATGTTTTTTTTTTATTTATTTTTGTTTGTTTTTTATTCGTATAATTTGTTTGTTTGTATTTCTTAAGTTTAAAACAAAATTTGAGCGAAATATAAGGGATTCAACTGAACGATTTGTGAAAACAATTAACCACAGGGAAAACATATTGTTCAGCGTATAAAAAGTTTGGTTTTTGTTTTGGTTTTGTTTTTGGTTTTTCCATTTATAATATGTGTTCAAGTATGTCTATGTGTACGGTATATATATGTATGTAAAAGCAATTGAAGCAACACCCTGTATACTCTCGTTTTTTTTTTTGTTTTTTTTTTATTTTAGTTACACTTTGAAATTCAACTTGGCTTTAGCAGAGACTTTTAAATTCAAATTCAAATTGCGTTTTGAAGGGAATACATATCATATGTATATTGTACGTATAAAAATGAATTCTTAGTCAAAAAATATATAAACGTTAGCTAAAACATAATTACATATGTATATATATGTATGTGTATATAAAGAAAACTTAATTGTAACATTAGACATTTAACATTAGATTGGTGTTCTGTTCTGTTCTGTTTTCGATCTCGATCTCGTTCTTTTCTCGTTATTTTTTGGTTTAGTTTTCCACTTATTATTGATTAATATTAATAATTAATAATTAATAATAATTATAAAAATACATATTTATGTGTATGCATGATGACTAGATGATGGTTCCATGATCGGCGTAGTTGCACTATATAGCTATATAAACACTAGAATCTATATCGAATGCAATGCGTATGCGTGACTATGATTAAACGAGCTAACATTTATCCATCGAATGTGTATCTCTTCCTCTGTATCTGTATCTGTATCTGTATCTCTGTGGGTGTGTTTGTGTGTGTGTGTGTGTGTGTGTGTGTGTGTGTGTGTGTGTTTCTTGTGTGCGGTTCGACCGTAGAGACTCATTTACACTAATTGGAAATACATACATATGTACATACATATATGTACGTACACCAGTGTGCATTCATATACATTTTTGAGTCCCGAAATTGATTTAAATTAATTGCATAACGAAAACTGTCCAACTGTCCACATGTCCTTATGCGAGATTATGGTAGGTAATGGCATCGGCATCCTTCATTGCTTGTGTACATTGAACGGATCCCTTTGATTTCTCAAACAACAAATTTAACATAGCAGAAGTAAATGGGGAATGTTTGTTAATAATAGCTATAATATACATAGATTAGATACGAGTGTTTTCTTTTCTTTCTTTTCAAATGAAATGCTGTATTCTGTCTGCCAAGCTTTGGGTGCTGATGCTGTCGTGGTTTTTGCTGTGCAACACTGCAAAAAAAAGGGGGTACAAAAATTAAAATCAATGGGTAACAACGAAAAGGAAATTATACCAACAAATCGGAAATCGAAAGTGTACATTCTTATGGGATTCCTGGCAATATAGTATGCGTCCTCATATCCGCCTTACAAATACTAATACAAGCAATGCGGGAAATAAAATATCAATAAATAATCAACAAATCATTAGAATTCGCTTATTTAGTTATTGCATTTTCCATTGCCCTTTTGGTTCTCATTTAAAGTTTCATTAACTTTTACCTTATATTCCTAACAATTTTTTATTATTTTTGAAATGCGTTGCCTTGCTCTAAAACTTACAAAAATGCTTGGGATATGAATCGTTTTATAGTTTTTCTTTTTTTTTGTTTTTGTTTTTTGTTTTTTTTAGTCTTCAATAGGAAGAATAAGCAGCTAACAACAAACAGTTAATATGCTTTGTGTTTCGTTTTTATGTATACGCACTATGTTTATGTTTATCGGTTATATATGAATGTATATGTATATTATGTATATAAATATTGTATTTTGCAGCTAGAAAAATTAGCGAAAATATTCATATATATTTATTTGTGTTTGTGGATGTCTTGCGCGTTAGAGTTCAAGGGTCTTGAGAGAGTGAAAGATCAGTTTCCATCTAAAATCAGTTGAGTCTTCGT